ATTATTATTGTAGAATAAATTAAATTTTAAAAAATATTGTTAAATTCGATTTTTTAAAATAATTAATTTTATAAAAAAATTAATGTTAATAAAAATTATTATTTACATCACAAGTTATATTTTATATTAAACTAAGTAAGTTCAAACTAAATTATATTAAACTAATTAAATTCAAAATAATAATTGAAAAATAAAATCATTTTAGTGTAAAAGTTTGGTGTTTTGGTGAAAATGAGTTGGAGATGAATAAAATTTGGTGTGAGAATATGCTGAGAATATTCCTTCTGATGTGACATTTGATGAAAAAAATTGGTGTTTTGGAGTAAAGTGGGTTGGAGATGCTCTTAGGGGGTATAGGTGCATGGACCTTCAGACTAACAAGGTTTATATATGCAGACATGTTCGGTTTGATGAAAGTGTTTTTCCTTTTGGTAAGACAGTTTTACAGGCACCACCTGTTCAAGCATCTCAACCATGAGCTGAATCTGTACTTATTCCGGCCTCATTCTCCAACATGGTTTGACCCGTATCTACTGAACCTATTCCGGCCAGGCACCACCCGAGCTATCCAGAATTGATTCCAGCCAGCCACAAGTCGAGCCAACCAGAACTAGCCCACGGTGAGCCATCGGCACACGATGAGCCCACTGCTGGTCAGCGACGCCGTGGCCGGCCAAGAGGCCGCTCGTCTCGGCCTACAGTACGGACGAATTCTATGGCCACCCATAGTCACGGTGATGGTCCTCTCTTGGCTTTATCTGCTCAGGTTTGTCCCACTGAACCCACTTGCTATACACAGGCTATCAAACATGATGAATGGCGCAAGGTAATGGATGGTGAGTTCAACGCCCTTCTTCAGAATGAAACATGGTATCTTGTTCCATCTAGGTCTAATATGAATATTATTGGCTGCAAATGAGTTTTTCGTACTAAAAGGAAAGCTGATGGATCAATTGATCGCTACAAAGCAAGGCTAGTAGCAAAAGGATTCAATCAGGTGCTTGGTCAAGATTTCTTTGACACCTTCAGCCCAGTGGTCAAGCCAACAACTGTCAGGTTACTTCTATCTCTGGCTATATCCTCTGGTTAGGTTATTAAGCAACTTGATGTGCACAATGCTTTCTTGAATGAGACTTTATCCGAGACTGTCTATATGAAGCAACCACCAGGATACATTGACAAACAATTCCCTGATCATGTTTGTCTATTCAAGTGTTCCCTATATGGATTAAAACAGGCCCCAAGAGCTTGGTTTACTCGTTGATGACAATAGGCTTTAAGACCTCAAAAACAGATGTATCATTATTTTACTACTCACAGGCTTCAGGTTTCATCTACGTTCTTGTTTATGTTGATGATATTCTTGTCATGGGCAATGATCAAGATCTTATCAGCTCTATTTCTAAATGCTCTATCATCTGCATTCAAAATTAGAGATCTTGGCGAACCTGGTTTTTCCTAGGGATTGAAACCATTAAATGTAAAGATGAAATCTTACTTTCTCAACAAAGATACATGACAGACATCCTAAAACGAGTCGGCATGACAGATTGTAAACCTTTAGCCACTCCTATAGCTGTTTCAAAATCCACTGTTTCTAACACTGATTTATATGAAGATGCCACACAGTATAGAAGTCTAGCTGGTGCTTTACAAGCATGCACTAACAGTCTCACATTGGGAACATTTGAAACGTGTTTTAAGGTAGGTAAGGGAACTAACATTTCTGGTTTAAGGATTCGGTGATCAGTGTCCAGGAAATTGCATGCTTTCTCAGACACTGATTGAGTTGGCTGTCCTGAGAATCGTAAGTCAACTAGCAGATATGCTGTTTTTCTTGGTTCTAATCTCATATCATGAGTATGCAAGAAACAACTAATTGTTACTAGATCATCTACTGAAGCTGAATACAAAGCCTTCACTGATGTCTGTGCGGAGGTTATCTGGACACTATCACTTCTACGAGAAATCCCATAACCGATGTGCCTACTCCCAAGCTTTGGCGTGATAATCTTGGAGCCACCTATATGTCTGCAAATCCTATTTTCCATGCTAGCTAGAACCAAACATATAAAAATTGATTGACATTTTGTTAGAGACAGAGTTGCAAATGGAGATATACATGTTAATTTTATTTCAACCAAGGACCAATTGGCAGACATCTTTACAAAAGCTCTACCTGGTCCTCCATTTTCATTTCTTAGAGACAAGCTACAAGTCACTAATGTACCTTGTGCTTGAGGGGGAGTATTAGGACTCTATGTATTTGAATTTGATTATAATTCCTTATCCCAGTCTCACTCAAACTTCCTTCTTATATATACCTGTAATCTGTACATTATTATTATTATTATTATTATTATTATTATTATTAATACAACTCTATCAGTTCCCATCGTTATTAGAGAGATCAAACTAATCACTTTAACAATCACGTAAGACGGTATTTAGTACATTATATAATTAAATGGTCAAATTTATACTTTGTAAATTGCTACTATTTTAAGGATAAAATGTATTTTCTCTCTTCATTTAATATTCATTCCCTCCATGAATGTTTAAGAAACTATTCAAATTTCTTAGAAACTTGGGGAGGTGGTTGAGTGGAAGATACTCATTCATCCTTAACTAAAGGTCAAGAGTTTAATCATTGACTTTGGATATGGAGCAGCCTTAAATCTTCAGGCAAGTTATCCCACCGAATAAAAGTGCCTAAAATTCAGCGATGGGATTAGTCACTATGTCTAACGGTGGAAACTTTGGATTACACTCAAACAAATTTGAAATTGCTTAAAATATAACATTGTATAAAATTAAATGACATACTAAAGGTTATGTTACTTATGCAAAAAAAAAAAAAAAAAAAAAAAAAAAAAAGTACAAAATTTTGTATCATTTGTTATGTGAGTTTATTTAATTTCATTTATGATCAATTAATAAATACGAAAAGTAATACTCCGTAACATATATGTGTTACAAGTTATATTGAATAATATTATATTTAATTCAAGAAAAAATTAATATGAATAACATTTTTCACATAACAAATATTGAAAATAAAGACTTATATTGTTGAGACTTAATTTGTCACCAAAAGATTTAAGTATTTGAAATATTTGTTATATAAGGTAGTAAGGTATTTGTTAGATGCATGGTGTATTAATATGATTATTGATGGATCTTAACGCTACTTCTTTGCGGCTATTTGGTTGTCATATCCTACTTAACATTAACTATTTAATCACATTATATTTCATGATAAGCCACAATGCCACGTCTCGAATCGAACCGGGATTGAACTCGGTCAACCCGGCTGACACCCAACAATTATGAAAAAAGATTGAAAAGAACACAAATGAAAGAAATGTATGTATTATACCCTGATAAAGTAAACATTCAATTGTTATTGCATGGACCACGACCCAAAACCGACGCTGTTTTACTTAATTTTATTTTTTCACGCGCTCAATTAAAACTACATTTTTATAACTCATAATGTACATCATTTTAAAGCATAATGTATATTATTTTAAAACATAATGTACAATTATGTTACCCTAGAAATTTCATTATTCTAAACAAGTAGTGTACATTATTTTAACACATAATGTACATTATTCTAACATATAATATAAATTATTCTAACACATAATGTATATTATTCTAACACTTAATGTACATTACTTTTACTCATAATATTCACAACGATATTTTGGATCGTGGTCCAGGTCCACACAGCTGCGTGGACCGAATTTGCAGTAAACATTATAGTAGACCAAAAAGTGTTAGCCCATCATATAAAATCTTAGTTTCTTTTTGCCTTTTTCCTTGAAAAGACCAAAATGCAATATTGAAGAAGCAACCCAAAGTTTTTTGTTTTGTTTTGTTTTGTTTTTTGTTTTTTTGTTTTTTTGTTTTTTTATTTTTTTTTTAAAAGTTAATGACAAAGGTAGTATTTAAATTTGTACATTAAGTAAACCAATTTATTCATTAAGTAAACCAAGATTTATGAATTTACATTTAGAACATGCAAGGAGTCTTTGTCCCAAATAAATTTTATTACTGAAATATATTTTCTTATTTATATAATATATTAGAAATTTAAATGTGTCCCACCCAAGTGTGCAACTTTTGGGAGCAAAAAAGGATGGCCCCTAAATTCCCCACCAAAATTGATATCAATGGTATCCAAGAATTCATATATTTTTTCCTTCAAGTCTTCCACTTAAATCAAACCCTTTCCTCCCCAAGAAGTGTTGATGAGTGGAAAATATGAGTGGGGAGATAGAAGAAAATAAAGAAAGCCTGACAGTGACACCAAAAAGAAATATTAACTCACCTAATTAAACAAAGAAAAACACTACTTGAACTCTAGGGGGTGTTTGGTTGAATGTAGTTGTAATTCTTTTCCTACTTTATTCCATTGCAAGACAAATTACAGTGTTTGGTGGGGGGAATTGCAATTTCCTCCTTTTGTTGAATTTCAATGCTTTTGGGAAAAAGAAAAAATGGATGAAATGACAAAATTACCCTTGATAATTATTATTCTTCTTATTGTACTACGACATTTTAGTCTTTATATCACTTTTTTCCTTCTCATTCCCAATAATTCTATTTCTCATACTAAATAATGTAATTTGAATTCCTACATTATTCTTACCTTATTCTTTTCCCACCGAATTGCAATTCCTTTCCTTCCTAATTCCTCCCTGCCAACCAAACACCCCGTCACTTCTTATTCCCAACATTTATTCCCTCTTATAAATTCAGACACTTTTCCTGGAACCACATGATAAAAATACCCTATTAATATTTGCCACAGAGAATAAAGATTAAGTAGTAAAACTTAACAATACATGTAATAAAACTCTTAAACAAATACTTATTTTATAAATCTACTATAGACCTGTAGTCAATAGCAGACTGGTAAAATCTAGCAAAGTCATAATTTTTTATTTATTTTTATATATATAATATTTCCATTTTCTGGAAATAGCCCTCTCCCTTCCTATAACATATTGCCACACAAATACAGAAAAGGGTCAGAAAACAATTATTTCTTGATAAAATGCAGAGTGGCAATATGGGTCTGTTGAAGTATTGATCGACGCACCCATTTTCATTGATTGATTTTATAAATGGCTCTTCAAGAGCTTCATCGATGACTGCTTGCTTAGGGCATGAATTTCTTTAAGCGACTTTCTACAGCTCTATCATTGATGACTGGTTAGTTTTCCATTCAATTCCATTCAAAGATTCAGTTTTTATCTATTTCGAATATGGGTTTTGGTTAGTTCCCTTTTTTGTTTTTTCCTTTCTATTTCTCTAAGCTAATCTTATGTTCAGTTTCTAAGCAAGTTCCACGAGCCTTCAAATTTCTGTTTCATGAATTGACTCTCTCTCTCTCTTTCTCTCTCTCTGTGCATGTATATATTAAAACTATGATGATAGTGTTTAAGCTGTATTGATTTTCTGTGCAAAACGGTTGCAACATTTTTCTAACTCTTATCTGCGTTTCGAAGCAAACTTCATTTTATTGGTTTTCGTTCCTTTCATATCTTTGAATATTGTCGTTAGTGTTTTGCTATGCTTGTTTAATATTTAGAATAGGTTCAAGGTCTAGTTTTATTGTATGTTCCTCAAATTAGTGGTTTTTATGCAAATTCCAAATATGCATTTCAGTGATTTTTATGAAATGGATCAATTCTATAACTTGTGGTATGGAGTTGGTATGATTAGTGTCTGTTTTATAATTGTGTTGTAATTTTCAGAAATCATTCTTCTATATAATTTTATGTCTATAAATTAATCTACAATGTATAAGAATTTTGCAGATTGATTATGTTAAACATGGGAGTTTATAATGTAAGAGGAATAATATTTTGTTTTCTTGAAATTTTAACTAAGATTGTTCAGGAAAGCTGAAAGATGGAGAGGGCAAAGCTGGATTTGAGATTCAATCATTCTGGATCTGCACAATCAGAGGAATCGGCTTTAGATTTGGAAAGAAATTGTTGCAATCATATGAATCTGCCTTCAACAAGTCCTCCACCACTACAAGCCTTTGCATCGAGTAGTCAGATCCCAGAGAGCAATGCAGCTTACTTTTCATGGCCTAGCCGGTTGGATGCCGTTGAGAGGGCAAATTACTTTGGACACCTTCAGAAGAGGGTTCTACCTGAAACTCATGGGCGGCTTCCATCTGGACAACAAGCTACGACGTTGCTTGATCTTATGACCGTTAGGGCGTTTCATAGCAAAATCCTTCGCCGGTTTAGTCTTGGAACAGCAATTGGATTTCGCATCAGGCGTGGTGTTTTGACAGAAATACCTGCTATTCTTGTCTTCGTTGCCAGAAAAGTCAACAGGCAGTGTCTGAGCTGTGTCGAATGTCTCCCGGCCTATCTTGAGGTTTTAAGTTATACACTTCTCAGTTTTTGCTTTGGGTAATGCTATTCTTGTTAATCTTGATTCTAGAGAGAACATACCTACATTGAAATCTGAATTAGTCGTGTGGAGATAACATTGAGATATGTGTTAAAATTTTTGAAACTCATCCATCCTACTGTGAATGTTATGAAAGTTGAGTATATTGAATACGTAATTGACTAGGGACCAGGGGGCATATGGTGTGACGTTGATGTTGTTGAGTTCTCTTACTACGGTGCACCTGCAGCTACCCCAAAGGAACAATTGTACAATGAACTCGTGGATGGCTTGCGTGGAAGTGACCCTTGCATTGGTTCTGGCTCTCAGGTGATTACTTCTCAATGCTTTTTTCATCAATGATTCTCCTTTGTGTGGTGGAACTTCCTTTATGTTCAGTATGCTATTAGGGCAAGCACTATTGCCTTATTGCCCTTTGGCTCCTTCGTGATCATTTAGGAGACTGAAATCAGAAACCTTGATAAACACCCTCAAGGGACTGCCATAACATATTTATTTTCATGCCACCAACTGTTAGCTTGGTTAACCTGATTATGCTCTATCAGGTGGCAAGTCAAGAGACTTATGGAACTTTGGGTGCTATTGTTAAAAGCCGGACAGGAAACCGGCAGGTTGGTTTTCTCACTAATCGGCATGTAGCAGTTGACTTGGATTACCCAAGCCAGAAAATGTTTCATCCCTTGCCGCCAAGCCTTGGACCTGGAGTGTATTTGGGTGCTGTAGAGAGAGCAACATCATTCATAACTGATGATCTTTGGTACGGCATGTTTGCAGGAATGAACCCAGGTAAAGTTTAAACTCTATAATGCCAATAATATGCTTACAACCAATATATAGCGGCAGGTCCAAATGAGAACATGGTCATCCTATAAAAAGTTAAAAAACTGATCTCAGCCGTCCATCAAGGTTTTACAAATGGTTGAGGATTTTAGTAAAAAAAAAAAAAAAAGATAGAAGGTGTGGATGTCTCCACACTTTATACAGGGGAGGTGTTCTCACCTGAACCCTCTCCTATATATATATGTATGTATAGGAGTTAGCTGTGGCATGTTCACTAAAAAAAATCCCTTAGTAGCGAATCATTTATTAAACAAAGATGATAAGCTTAATAGGAAAGCAGTGAAGATTTCATTCTGTACATGCCAACTCATGAATTAGTAACTGCTTCCAATTTCAAAAAAAAAATAAATCCTAATTGTGTTGAACCTTCCATTTTTGGAATGGAATATTTTCGAAAATGTCAAGTCTCGCTTTTTCTAGTGATTCCAATTGTGTGATTCATACTTGTTATGTAGATTGTGTGGGTTTTAGCTGTACTTTCTAAAGTTTTTGTGTATTATAAACAATGTTGCAGAAGGCGCTAGGTGGGCGCTCGGGGGGTTGCCTAGCACCTAGAGCGCTAGCCGCCTAGGCGGTCGAGTAATCCGAGTATATCGTCTCCAATTTTCTCACTCAGGACTGAGAGTTGTTAGACTTTTATAATCACATAAACTAGTCAACTGCTTATGTTAGATGGTTAATTGAGTACATGGCTAGAAGAATATAGAAGAGTAGCCGAGTAGGCAAAAAAACACCTCGGCCGAGTTGAGTGCTAACTCGGCTAAGTTAGGCGCCTAGTTGGCCAGTCGACTAAAAGTCGCCTAGGGTTGAAATCGCCTCGGTCTAAGGGTGGCTAGCACCCAGTTGGTGCCTAGGCCGATTTTTACAACACTGATTATAAATCCAATTGTGCATGGCCTTGTACAAATGTGTTCCTAACATGCTTGTTCCTACAGAAACATTTGTACGGGCAGATGGAGCTTTCATTCCTTTTGCAGAAGATTTTGGCATGTCGAGTGTGACTACATGTGTAAAAGGCATAGGTGAGATTGGCGATGTGAATAAAATAGACCTGCAGGCTCCCATTGGTAGCCTGATTGGCAGGCAAGTGGTGAAAGTTGGGAGGAGCTCGGGGTTGACCACCGGGACTATAATGGCGTACGCCCTAGAGTATAATGACGTAAAAGGAATATGTTTCTTCACCGACTTTCTTGTTGTTGGTGAAAACCAACTGACATTTGATCTTGAAGGTGATAGTGGTAGCCTCATTCTTCTGACTGGTAAAAACGGAGAGAAGGCACGACCTGTTGGAATCATATGGGGTGGAACAGCTAATCGAGGTCGGTTAAAACTGAAAGTTGGTCAATCTCCCGAGAATTGGACGAGTGGGGTTGACTTGGGCCGCCTCCTTGATCTCCTTGAACTCGATCTCGTTACATCCAATGAAGCTCTTCAAGGTGTGTATAGTAACTACAGTACAATACATACATAGATTCTGGAAAGTTTATAAATTTCGTTTTCTTTCTTAATTAGTAGTTTTGGTGTTTTGGTAAATAGCGGCACTAAAAGAGCAGAGAAATGCTGGTGCATCACAAGTGGGAATCGGGTCTACTGTGGCTGAGTCATCATCGCCTGGTGAGCGAGGAGGAGTTGGTGATTTGAAAGAGAAGGCCGAGGAGGAGGAGAAGTTTGAAACACTTGATCTAAACGTCCAGCAAGTTCCCATTGATGGTGATTTTGAGGTGCCGGGATTAATCCCACCCCACGAACACGAATTTCAGATTCAGATTCCGAGCAGAAATGAACCACCTCCCACTCCGCACCAGTTCATTCCAAGCATCGCTGATGCATCTCCAGTGCACCGACAGAAGGGGGAAAGAGTTGAATCGAAAAATGGGCATAGCCATAAGTCGGGTGACGAAGAGTTTTCTGTTGTTTCTTTGGAGTTAGGTGAACCTGAAGTGAAGAGAAGAAAGGTTTTGGAATCTCAGTTGGCTTGGCTTCATGACTTGTCCAGATAACTAAATACCCAAACCCAAGTTCAAGTTGAGAGGTTTAAGGAAACCTACAATTGGGTTATTCTTTCTCACATCTAATTGTGAATGAATGAATGAATGAATGTTACAACAGCTCTAGCCTCTAGCCTCTAGATTAGTGTTGTATGATATAATACAAATCTTCAAATCACAAGGGAACTGTAATTATTTATATGCACTTTTACTGGGAACCGTCACACCAACGTATGATGTTTTAGTTCACAAACTCTCTTTTCCTGGGAATCCTCAGAGCTCAGACTACAACTACTTGGATTCACAACAACAAAAAATAAAATAAAAAATTTGTCACACAAGAACAATAACTCTTCCTTCGTTGGATATGATTATATACGCAGCATCCAACAGGTATGCAAATTTGTTGTTGAATTCATTGGCTACACAAATTCATCTCTAAAATCAACCAATGATTAATTTGCAACAAATTTTTCTATGAACTATGCTCCACATTAGAAGGTAAACTATTAATAGATGTTTATTTATTTTTAATATATTACAAAAATGAACTTTTAGTATATAAAAAATAAACTGCATATCAGTAATCTACCTGGACTATAGTATTTAAAAATCAATTGTTACTGTTGAACAAGGCGGTTACTGAACTCTGTTCATAATTATAAAACTTTATGTTCATAATTTTTTAACTATTCACAATATTGAACTCTATATTCACAATTACAGAACTCCATGTTCATAATTACTAAACTTTATATTCATAATTTTTTAACTCTATATTCACAATTACAGAACTCTATGTTTATAATTATAAAACTCTATGTTCATAATTTTGAAACTCTATATTCACAAATATGACAGTTTTGAAACCGTGTCCACCTTACAAGGTGGATACAATTTCACGGCATAATTTGCCTTTAAAAATAATATATAGACTCCCGCAGAGTAAAACCGTGTGATGAAAAGAAAGAGTAATATATACTCAACAGAGCAGCTCAGGGCCCAAGTAACCAGGACATGCAGATTACTTTATTGCCAATCCACAAGTTATAGATACAATGGGATATTTACATGTGAAGGATATACACAACTTAAATATGTACAAATACATTCTAAAATAACATAGCTTGTATAACACAAGAGGATTAGAGTTCCATAACCATCTTGCAATATATACAGAAATATATATATATATAAATAAAGTCAGCCCAACACACATCAATACCACTTCCACGATGAATATGAATCGGCAGCTAAAATTTATACATTCGTCGAGACAGACATGGCACTAAGTTCAACATGGCATTTCTTACCATCGAGCGCAGGGTGAACAACCACAGTGGCTTGAGCATCTTCCCGTGAAACATTGTCTTCCCCGACACGAGAAACACAAATAGAACCCACAATCGGCTTTTCATCCGCCACATACTCTGCCCCTTCTGATATAATTTCCCATTCCTCCTTGAGGGAAGTGATCTCCAACCCTTTTTCTTGGCGCCTCTCCATGTCAAACAAGGTGGGAAGGATAACATAATCGTTAACGGGATTATAGAAAGGATCGTGATCCGCCTTCAGCCAGTGTTTGATAACCCTAAAAACATAACGATCACAGATGATCCCTCTGTGATCTGCAGGGACTCCAACCCTTGCTTCTGCATTAAGCCCATCTGCCTGTAAAAGTGGGAGCAAGAGCAGAAACATGAGGAGTTAGTATCTGTCAAATTATGATTTGAAGAATAAACAGTAAATTATATTGCCTCAAGTGATGCTTTGATTTCTTCAATTCTTTCTAGCTTCAGAACTGACATAAGTTTATGTTTGATAACCGCCAAAATTAAATTTCGGGTCATTTCGATAACAGCTGAATAGTACTGAGCCCTATGCCCCATAGGTGCTCTTTAGGCAGTGAAATTTCTATAATATATAAATCTGAATAATTAATGAAATTGCATTGATTTCGTTAATCTTTCATTTTAACATTACACCAAGGACGTGTTTGGTTCATGGGGTTAGATACAAGGAATGGGAATGAAAGTCATACACATTATTTGGTTGACAACTTTTTTAAAACATAGGTATATGATTTAATTGCCCCTATAATTACAAAACCCATTACCTAATTTAAATCAGGTATCATTCCACTAATTCAACCTTATACCTCCTCACTTCATCGACTTCCTCACTGCATTGCCTACTCTTTTCATCGCCGCCACTCTGATCAATTGCCTTGATTTTTTGTTTTTATATTTTTAAAACCTTTATTCCGATTATAGGGTCATACATATATATTGGTAAACATTCCAACTCCACCCTACTACCAAACATGAAAAATAATTTCACCAAAACCCATTCCAATTACCAAATATTTGATTCCTATTCCGTTTCTGATTCCCATGTTCAAACCAAACACACCCCAAATAGTACCAAGTCCAATACTCTAATAAGCCCCACACAGGATAGCTTCAGGTGGGGCTTGACTCATTGACCAGGGGGGCTTCCTTTTAGTCAACATCATTGGCTAAAGGAAAGGTAAAGTACCATGCAAACAAAGCAAACTACATTGTTTCCCGCAAAGACTCCATTTTTGCTAACAATGTCTCACATCAGAGGAAGAGTAAAATGCTTAATAAAATTTTTACTATTTATGAAAAAAGTGAAGTGATAAAACCCAAATGCAATATCCAAAATTAAATTTAGTGGAATATATACAACGAGAAAAATATTTCACACGTGAACATTAAATCAAAACAGTACCTTTGCAGATTCTGTTGGAACTGTTCCATCACCATCAACATATATGAAATCAGCCTGAAAATATGCACAAGCAGATGCATCTTAGCCACTAACCACCGGCAAGAGTTTCACGTATAGTGGAGATGTATGCTCTAGAACATCTACCAGCATCTACGAGAATGAATGAGAATAAATGGTTTTACCGTTACAAAAGGTAGCTGCTTTAAATCTGAGACAGGTTTATCTGCACTTCCATAACTGCAAAGCAGTAAATATTGAGTAGAGTTGAAATAGATTCAATCTATGATTATAATATTAGCATATAAAATAACTTAAGCTTGCCAGTTTCTGATACACTACTTGAGAAAGAGGACTCAGTAAGTTCTACCTGACAGTATGTGGTGTATCATAGTTAGTCCCATAGATATTATAAAATTTGACTTGAGGAGGCTTCTTTGCACGGTTTAAAATATTTCGGGTCTCATTGGCCCATTTCAAGATTTCAACATTAAATGGTAAAGCAATATCAACACCATCATAGATCACCTGCAAAAACAGAACTATCAATTCAATTACTCCATTTTATTTGATTAAGGTAATAATTGAAGAAACTTCACAAGCAAAATGATGAGCTGAAATAACATTTTAACTAAGCTGACAAATAATAAAATATCATGACTCTTTTGAATTGCTTATAAACTAGAAATACAACAAGTGTTGTGATATGGTTTTCATATTTCCTGAATATTAAAACAAAATGCCCAAAAAGATAATTTATCCTGAATCATTAAGGCTACGCAACAAATCGGCAATCAATTTGATTAGACAGTTATAAAGGTAGCAGTAGAAATACAGTTCTCCTTCTCCTTTTAGTTTCCCATATGGCATATACCAATTGGGATTTCGCTAAATTTTTAGGCATTCATATTTGAGAATGAGTGACAACTTACCTTATTATTTTCGAGAGCTTCCTTCATAATTGATACAGCTTGAACTGGAGGATAGGACTCCAGCATAGTGGCAGAATCTCCATTGCTATTAGAACTCTCCCTCCAGACTTGTAGAAGTGGTATGTCTTCCCAGTTAAAATCTGGAGAGCCCATCAATTCATATATTGATGGACATTCAATTAACTGAAACATAAAAAAGTTGTAAAATAACTTATTACCCTGTAAAAGATAGATTGAACAAACAGTATATAAAGATAAACTTTGGTAAAGGACCCTGGGACCAGAGGAAAAACTAGGAAGTTCGGAAGACTATACAATATCGAATGATATGAAGTACAAATCTACATCTAGATAAGCTTAGAACTCTTAATGAGGATTACATGTGTTCCCAACATTAACCAAATACAGAAAGACTAAGCACATACCATTTGGGGTTTTTTTCCCCGAAAAGACAAGTAACCTAAGTCCACTTCCTAGGTAGAAAAGGGTCAGTGCCTTGACAAGATACACACATTGTTTGAGGGCCAAGATCTGCCTGACCAATACCCTAGCTAACTCAGGATATTTTTATTTTCAAATCTAAATCCAAGGCAAGACTATACATCCAATAGAACTTAGCCACACACAACCTACAACCTATGTTAGCTAGCTAAACCATGAGCTTGCATACACAAAGCACATTCAATTGATGCACATATATGCTTCACAAGAGCCATGAACTTGGATCCCAGGAATGAGATAGATTTAGAAGTGAGAACCAAAAAAAGAATACAAATATAGAGCTAACATCTAATAAAGTGGCCATTCTTTTACATCCCATAAATGCAGAACTCACAGCCACATTGCTGCTCCCACCAGTCACCGGATTTAGAGAAGGAATGTTGCGATTTGCCACATGGAACCTACAACCTATGGCAAAAGATTAAGGGGTGTAGCTAAACCATGGGCTTGCATTAACCTTTTACTGGAAGAGTTTGCTTGGACACAGACTTGATTACCGGGTTGAGAAAGATTTAGAAATTAGAACCAGCAAAAGTATACAAATAGACAACTAGCACATATTAGTATATTACTCTCAACTGAATTTCACAAACTAACTCCAAAGGACCATCTAAAATTATATCCCTGAACTCTTTAGATATGTGAAAAATATAGATCTAAGGTGTATTTTGGTTCATGGGTGTTGAATATTAGGAAAGTTGTCTTAGTTTCCTATTCTTATTAGTAGTTTCTTATTCCTATTAGGAGTAATTTAGTATCTAGTTTAGTATATATAGAGGTCCATTGAAGTATAGAACATACATTAAGAGAGACAATCTATTGTAATCTTTCATTATAATATATTCTCTTTATTCTCTTGTTCTTTGGTTCTCACATATTTTGCTTCCGCCTAACTGGCGGGTGGTGGTTATTCTCCACCCGCCAGACCTATCAATCCCTCAATTTCAACAATGGGATTGGAGGAGATAGGACTAGTAATCCCTCTCAATTCCATGTTGTTCACTTCAATCTAGTAAATAGGTGGCAAAACCCCCACACAATCACAGAAGTAGGGATAAAAATAAAGAGGAAGAGGGTATTGTTTTGGATAAAAGTAGTGAACAAGCCAATTGAAGCATGACACATGATAGTTATTTGGATGATTTCAGAAAAGGTGACAAACTTAGCAAATAGAAAATAGCAATGTCCATAAAAGAAACAAGTAGAAAGACAAAGGAAAGCAGTCCATACCAATTGGTGCATGCTCCACTTAGATATGAAAAAATTCTTTTCCCACCCGTCCAGGAAAGACATTCCATTAAAAAATGTAGAGGTAATATAACCAGGTGCACCTGTTAAAGTACAACAAATTTTAAGCCAACAAATTGTTTTGTACTTGATTGAAATAAGCTGAGATGTCATAAAACATTAGAAGCCCAAATTATAAACTGGAAGTATTTTGTTTGACAAATTGACCTAGTGCACAAGTGTACTGATTTGGAGAATAATATGTCATTATAAGACAGAATTTTGGGACAAAACTTGAAAAATATAATATAAAACTAAACATCATAACAGTAAGGGGTTTATGTTAGGAACAATATCTATTAGCAAGTTAAAAGAGAAAGCAAAAAAAGAATGAGGATTTGAAAAGAACAAAATACACTTTTACCAGGATTGTTTTGGGATACTGGATGTGAAAGATGTGGTCACTCTATTAGATGAAAGAGGTGATTGATTCAAGTAGCAAAATGTGAGTGACAGACAACAGAAAGAACGACTAAAAATTTAGTCACAACTTGTTAAAGGGGACAATCATGAATTCAATAGCTTAACTTAACTCTATAAGTAAAGATCCAATGCATAAAGAAAAGTATGGATGCCAGTTCTTTGACTGATTACTTTTATAGTAAATAATGCAACAGACCTTGGAAAGGAGCAGCAATTGCTATCCAGTTTTTGACATACTTCTCAAAGATCTGCAGCAAACATCATAATGTAAGCAAGCAGAATTTCTACCAAAATTAAGTTCATTAAAAATCAATTATGAAGGGAAGAAGAGTCTAGAAAAAATGTCTTCTCAAAGAAAATAACTGTTTAATAACAAAGGGTAAACTGAAACTTAAGGGAAGGAAAATTTTACATCACTGTGAAGGTTCATGAAGCATTTCACAAGGAGACCACCCATAGAATGGCTGATGATGTTTATCTTTTTTCCCCCTGATGCAGTATATATTGACTTCAACTTTGCCTCAAGGCGCTCCAGTGTTTCATGAAACCTTCAAAATGAACATAAAAGAGCATGTCAAGGAATTAGCCAAAAGTGAAATACTTTCATCAAAAATAAAGAAAACGTTACAGTCAAGATTCTTAGAGTAAACTGAACACAGTATTGCATATAATATCATAATAAAGATGCATAAAGGGAGAAGACAGGAACAACAGAAGTAAACTTTTGGAAGTGGGGGCAGACAAATGAAGACCAAAGTGACCCTCCTTGTTGGCTCATAAGCAGTCTGATCTGGCAAGTTCAACTAAGGCTATGATAGTCGACGGATGAGATCAGAATTAGGTTTAGTGGCTATGGCGGCTTTCACACAAAAAGCTTACCACACAAATAAAAGAAATATAAATACAAACACTAACTACAAGGAGGAACTGTTGACCTGTGTGCATGGCTTGGGAAGATAGGTATATGGAATGAACAATCCAAAATTCCAAATAAGTTTACGCAGTTTGAAAAGTCACATAAAATTCACCTGTTGCTCTGACGAAAATCATAACCAAACCCAAAAAGTGTTGTTCCCTCTTGGTAGCCCCACATGAGCATTTCAGCTATCATATCATGGAAATAATATACACTGTCGCGTCCAATAATCTGCAAGGAGCAATAGCCATATAAGAGATGAAAGTTGAAGTTCATCACTAGTTAAAGAAACGAAGGTGATAGTAAACAAAAATATGTTCTGAGGAGGTTAACTAGTAGTATAGTACTGCCAATTATGTTCTAAGCATAGATGAATTTCTGTAAAGATTGTTGTGCACCAACTAGGTGCATCCTTTTTTGTGAATAAATTACGTAGATGAAAACATTCCATAACTTGGACAAACTTGGAAAGTTGGAAGGATAAATAGTTAAATACTACCTCTGTCCACAAAGTAGTGTCCTATTTACTATTCAGTTAGTCAATTTAAGTATTGATAGACATAAGTTTATGTTTTCAAAATAAAAATTAGATATGAATAAACTACATGTTATACTAGTAGTAAAAAATCACAACAAAAAGTTATTTAAAATATACTCTAAAATATTAGTTCCAATTAGATTGCACTGACCCTCGAAGGCAAATAGGTTTTTTTAAAAAAAAAAATTGGATAGAGAGTAATTTATTGGCTGCACTGTGTTGTTAAAGTATGATAAGTAATTTGTGGGCAACAGCTTAATGAGGGAAATTCAAAATAATAAGTTAAAATCATAATTTATAAAAGGAGTTAATACCACTTTTGGTCTCTTAAATATAATGGCATTTGCACATTTAGTTCTGGACTATCAATTTGATCAAGCATAGTCCCTTGATGTTTTGAAATTATGGTGTGCTATGAGTACAAAACTTAAGTTCATTCAATAGTGAGCACATGCTGAATGTGAACATTTAATATGTTTAAGTGAACATTAAAATTAAATCAAAAGTGAAACAGTTCATTCGAAGTGACCTATCAGTTCAACAAATATGGACATTTTCCAAATCAGAAATGGACATCTTAGAGTTTGCGTGGTTTTGCTCTATATGCACTTGATTTATCTTCCCTAGAAGTAACTTTGTTCAGCATCACACTATTAACACTTAACAGTATCAATATAAGGCTCCTACAACTGAATGTGCTATTATATCGAATGTATTGTTGAAAGACAGCATATAGCCTAAAAAAGAAAAGTTAAAGACTGCAGCTAACCACAGTTTGGTAAGAGATGTAACTCACCATATCAGGATCCAAAGAATCAATGGCGTATAACCCATATCTGTCTTCAGGAACCTCAATACTCGTATCAGGGTCTAAAGTCACTGCTTTACCTATTCATGAACCCAAAAGAAGGTCAGTATTTCCAATTTTTCCTTTATAAAAAGTGAAAGATAGCTACTGTAAAATATTTTTTATATGTTCATCCATCTGTCATAACTAGTATGAAACAATATAAAAATCATAAAAGGATTTATAATGATGGTAACAAGTCAAAATTGAACTCCATCAATATCAGAGAATCAGACAATAAGAAATATGTGTCACAATTATCCAACTACAATTCAAAATTTAACTTTGGAACTTAGTATATTATTACTCCGTATTATTTTGGGTTTTAAAATAAATACAAAAAAGCCAAACTTTATACGAATTAATTTTGAACTGTTCAGGAAAAAAGAATTAAAAGACACGACAATCAAAACCAAAAGAGAACGAAAATTAGAAAGTGTGATCACCCGTGGAAGAGTCGAAGCGAGACCAGAGCTTATCACAGAACTCATGGTCGGCGCCAAGGATCCGGACCCAAACCCGTTCAGATTTACCAGTTTTATTATTGACGGCGTTGATAATTGAACCGGCTATTCCAGGAACCAGAAGCACCGGGTCGAGCGTAGGGTCAACAAAAGTCTGCGTCTCCTTGATCAGCCCTAACCATAGCTCCAATGACTTCACTATCTCCTCTAACAACGCCATCAAAATTACAGATTTTCTCCCTACAAGTATATGTATTTCAGGAGATTTGAAGGGGATTTAGGGAATTAAGAGGAAGAAGATGGGGGAGTGGAGGCTTTTGGAGGCGCGGCGGCTGGGTAGGTGGCTTTGAAGGAGGGAAACGGTGGCGAGTGGTTGCAGTGAAGAGCCGTGGAATTAACGGAAAGTATTGCAGCCTCCTGCGGCAGTTCAATTACCTTAGGCCTTAGCTACCAACGAGTTGTGGCCATTAATATGCTTGTTAATTGTTATGGATATATTTACAGTTTTGTCCTTTAGAAGCCAGACTTTTCACGTTTGACATTACGGCTCTCGTTATTTTGCTTGGGAGAGTCATTCACGGTTTCAATGACTTTGACCTCGTCTAGAAAAAATAGTAGTCTATCACTCAATTTTGACTTTAAGTTGTTTAATTTGGTTAAAGAATTAATTTCACTTTTGGTCCCACGACTTTTGATGTTCTATCACTTTTGGTGCACAACTTTAAAATTTTTTAATTTTGGTGCCTAACTTTGTTATTTTATCAATTTTGGTCCTTTCGGCCAAATTGACTGTGAAATGTTGTTGGATTTTATATTGTTAGGGGTAAAATCTTCATCCCAAGGAAACATCTTCAATATCTAAACAAGATCACCGTAAAATCATATTTATAGGTGTTTGATGATGAGAATAATGGGGAAGATGGGCAGAAACCAGACAGATATATGGGATTTATAGTTTCGACCATTGGCAAACTCTTCTTTTCCTCTTAATATGATTTTTCTTTTGTTTAAATATTGAAGATCTTTCCATGGGATGACGATTTTGCCCCTAAAATATAAAATTTGGAAATATTTTACCGTCAATTTGGCTAGAAGGACCTAAACTGATAAAAATAACAAAGTTAGGCACCAAAATTGAAAAAATTCAAAGTTGTGCACCAAAAGTGATAAGAACTCAAAAGTCATGGGACCAAAAGTGAAATTAATTCTTTTGGTTAAATAATTAATAGAGAAAGTGACACTTTTTTAGTTATATGCTTATAACACTTTTTTTCATGAGTTATTCATGCATTCACATTTGTCCCCTCAATTATTATAAAAGTTGCGATTTTCCCTCTTGATATATTAAATGGACATTTTTACTCTTATCAATAATTCATGCATTCACATTTGTCCCTTAAAATAAATATTTTATTTATTTCTCTTCTTCAACGAATTATTGCTGATACGTAGAGATGATCACGGTTCGGTTCGAACTGAACCGGACACTATAGTAATTAAACTTAGAATTATAATATTTGCAAATAATGTATGTTCTTTTTCGCATTTATTCTGATTCTCACATATAAGTATATATTAATGCGATTTGGTTTTGATTTTGAACTGTCAACTCACGGTTTCAGATCCAATTTGAACTGTTGGTTCAAACTTTCTTTTAAAATTTTATTTTTTATTTTTAAAATATTCTAAATTCAACAACTAATGTATTTTATTTTTTCAATTCAAAACATGAACTGGCAGTTTCGATTTCGCGATTTTAATAAACTCTAAATATCGGGTTCCGGTCCTAAATTGTCATCATAACATTTCTGTTTGGTTGCTATAATGTCTGTTTGGTTTGAACCAAATCATGGTTATAATTTGTTGGAGAAGAAAAATAAGGGTCCGTTTGGAAAGCAGGAAAATGACTTCTGAAAAATGTTTTCTGGAAAATGAGTCATTTTCCGGAAAACATTTTCCTTTCCGGTGTTTGGCTACATAACAGAAAATTGTCTTTGTGTGTTTGGTTCATTTTCCAGAAAATGATTAAGAAAATGACAAAATAAAAAAAAAATAATAAAAATCACAAACATCACTGGAATATCAAAAGAATATAAAAAACATACAATTAGCTATAATGCAAGTGCAATTCAAATAATGAAAGCTCAAAAATTTCAGGCTCAAACAAACGAAAAAAAAAATTAAATTTATAAGATAAACAGTGAGTGAAAAAGAAAAGAAAGCATATTATCTGTACTCAAACAAACAGACCAGTGGCCTCGTCTCCCTCTCCGGAGACTGTGGTTGACATCAGATTCAGCGGTGAAACAATAGCCCTTGAACCTCCGTCTCCCTCTTTCTTTTTTCTCGATCAGTAGCGATGGTGGTGGCCGGACGCAGTGGTTGAGTAGAGCAGCGGCGGACCTGGGTTTCTTCCTTGGTCTTCTTCAGCAACGACGGGCAGATCGACGGCAGCAGTGGCGGATCTGGGTTTCTTCTTCCGAGCAACGACGGCAGATTGATGGCGGTGACGGGATGAACCTCCAACAATGGCGATGGTCTCCGGTGGTGCAGCTTCGCTTTTGACCTTTGGTGTTAACGGAGGTTGAGCTTCATATGATGGAGAACCAACGAATGGAAAATGACTTCCCCCAAAAAAAGGGGAAGTCATTTTCCGGAAAATAGGAGTGATTTTCCATTGACCACAAGTTATTTTCGATTGACTTCCATTTTCCTTGCCTAGCCAAACACCTAAAACCCGGAAAATGATTTCCATAAATCATTTTCCGGGTTTCCAAACACACCCTAAATGAAATATTTATTTTAAGGGTAAATATGTTCATTTAACATATTTCAAAAAAAAATGTTCATTTAACATATCAGAGGGGGGAAACTGCTATTTAAATAATTCAGGGGAAAAAGTGCTATAGGTATATAACACGGGAAGAAAAGTGTCTTTTTCCCTAATTAATATGCGTAGTTTTTTCGATCAACTTTTAGTTTAAAAAATGCTAAAATTCAAAAAGTTGCTCAACGTGAATTTTTTGATAAGCTTTTTGAAAAATTTATTTTGTATGTAATCAACTAACAACTAATAACTAATTTACCAAAATACTTGTCTACAATCAGTTAATCGCAAATTATATCATGCACCGCGTGCATAATCGCGCATCAAAACGACGTCGTTTTATTTAATGAAAAGAAACAGAATCTTTGCAAAAAATAACTCTGTTCTTCAGTTTCATTTTGTATACACTGCAGTTTCAGTTCAACACAACTACAGTTTCATTTCGATATAACTACAGTTTCAGTCAATATTTATACACTCAAATATGTAAAAATGTTATTTAATTTTATTTTATATACACTATAGTTTCATTAAAACACAACTACGTGATCATTTCAATATAATTACAGCTTCATTGTACAATATACGCTCAAATATGTGAAATGTTATTCAATTTCATTTTATATGCTATTCACCACAACTACAATATCATTTTGATATAACTGCAGTTTCATTTGATAATATAAAAATAATACGTGAGACAGTATCGGTTTAGACACACTGTAGTGTCACTCCGTTATAACTGTAGAAACAACGTTGTTTTGACACGCGGTGCATAATCGATTATTAGAAGGTCTGAAGGGTTGAACATTTCGAGAACCAGGCCCTTGATGAGGCTGAATGTCTCGTGAAGAAGGGCGAGACGATGAGGGTAGACCTTGAGCTGGTGGATCGAGAGATAGGTAATCGAACTGAGGGTTCTGAGGCTAAGGAAGATTGTGAGATCTGCTACCATTTCCTCATCCTTGATTATCTCTATCATCTCTGCTTCCACTTCTAACTTCCCCCTTTTTGGCAACATCTCCAGAGTCGATGCAAGGGATTTAGTAAGCTCAAGAACCATCTCCTTCAACTCGGCAACTTCCCACAGAGTTTTCAACTAATTCTCACCGACCATGGAGATATTCTCGTCAAGGACACCTAACCTCTCGCAGACAAGATCAACTCGTTCTTTGACACCAAATTGACTGCACTTCATAGAGTGTTGATCTTTTTGGTTTGTCCTGACCTTTGTGAAGATTTGTCATTCCCTCAAGAACAGCTTCCATTGATCGCATCAACGATCGCAACGGCCAGTGGATGATTTCTCCCTTACTTACATGGGCACCTCTTCCATTTCTCTTGCCACGAGAATAGACGAGATCCACCGAGTCTATGCGGAGAAGTTGGCCGAAGGAGAAGCTGCCAAAGGCAAAGGCAAAGTTGTCGACGACGACGGTTAGACTCCCACTGCCCCTCCCAAATCTTTCACGAATGAGATGAGGAAGGCCAAAGCCCTCTCTCACTTCAAGGTGGAGTTCGTTGATCTGAACCTGGAGGCTGGTCCGAGCAGACGAGCGGACTCTTTATACCTATCTCCCACACATAGGTCAAATGATATGGGAGAGCTAGCCAATTAGTTAGGAAATGAAACAAACCGAGTTGACATTGACCGAATGGTGGATGAAGTGGTTCACAATTCAGTTGCTGAGGCTGAGATAGCAGATGCTCAACCGAATGTACCATATACCGAGGACGCAACACCACCATTTGTTATGATTCAACCCGAGTGGTTGAGGAGGCACCAATTAGATGCAAATAGTTTTTTACTGTCGAGTGGACAACACAACCAAATTAACACAAGCTCAACCAATTCCTACTCGAGAGGTTAAAGAACCGAGTAGAAGGGAAGCTGTTGTCGTCGACATATCGAGTAGTTCATCACCCCCTCGAGAGGTTGAAGAACCTAGAGAATACTTGACTCGAGGAGGAAGAGTAGGCCGCCAGCCCACATTAGCACCCACTCGAAAGGCAAAGGTAACGAAGGGTGCAAGCGAGTTATTAACCACTCGTGCTACTAAAGGGATGCAACCAAACCCATCTCGTGTGCAAGGGTTCGTGTATGAGGCAAATTCTAACTCAACCAGTGGTGGAAATAGGGAAGCACCACTTAGTGCGAGTTCAGAGAATTTGTTCTCGGTCAATGTTGGACAGGACCAGACGCCACCTCAAGCTCCAAGGCCCATGAGAGATGTACCTATTTTCTTACAAGTTGTGCAGACCATGACCAAGGATCAAAATGCTGAGGAAGGTAGTCCGCAACACCAAAAAAGTTGCTATTGAGACGAAACACTAGTACAGAATTAGCACAAAAATAGGACAATTTGCATCTGAAGTTCAAATACCGGACGCAAATAGGACGCGGTGGCAATTCTGTAATTAAAAGTTCAATATTTAATTTTTTTAATTTTTTTTTTAAATAATAGACTATCTGCGTCCAAAGTAGATAGTCCTCTAATATTTTTTATGGGAAAATGATACTTTTTCCCTCCTGAGTTATATGCTTAGAGCACTTTTTCCTCCTAAGTTATTCATGTATCCACATTTGCCCTCTCTGTTATGTTAAAAGTGGTGGTTTTTCCCTCTTTATTGTTAAATGGACATTTTTACCCTTAACAATAAGTATTTCGGGTGTGTTTGGTTGGTGGATTTTGCCCATAGGAATGGGTATGAAAGTGATTGTTGTTGTTTGGTTGATAGGTTTTTAGAACACTACTATGAGTTTCGAATACCCCATCAATTGAAAAACCCATACCCAAATACAACAGGGGTTTAATTCCCTTATTCATTCTCAAGCACTACTATTAGTAACCATTCCCATTCCACCCTACTACCAAACATGTTAAGGGGTCGTTTGGTTCACGGAATGTCAGATTACCTTAGGGAATGTTAGATTGCTGGGAATGTTAGATTCCTGTATTTGGTTAAAATTAGGGTATGTAAAATAATCATGTTTGGTTTAGGGTTATCTTTTATACACACTATAATATCCTTAACATATTTTTATATATTTTAATAAATTTAAAAATTAAAATAAATAAATAAGATAACGGTATCATATATAGTTACATGATTTTAAAATATTAACTAAAATCTTGAACTTAAGAAACAAAATTATTTTATATGCTCACATAACATAATAAAAATAAAAAAAAATATATATATAATTACAAAAATAATTTTATATAGGGAAAATGACACTTTTTCCCCCTGAGTTATATACCTATAGCATTTTTTTCCCCTAAATTATTGAAGTGGTTGTTTTTCCCCCTGAAATGTTAAATGGACATATTTACCCTTAAACTAAATATTTAATTTATTTTTTTTTCCAACAAATTATGACCATAATTTGGTTCAAACTAAACAAACACTATAGCAACCAAACCGAAATATTCCAATTACAATTTAGAATCAAAATTCGAAATTTAGAGTTTATTAAAATCGTGAACCGGAACAGACGGTTCATGTTCCGAACTGAAAAAATAAAATACATTTATTGTTGAATTTAGACTATTTTAAAATAAAAAAATAAAATTTTAAAATAAAGACAGTTCAAAATCGCGAATCAGATCCGGAACCGCCGGTTCACGGTTCAAGATTCAATTTTTTTGATACATAATTTTAATAAATTGACATTTAAATATTGAGTTCTAGATCTGAATTATAACCGTAAACTATTAATTCGATTGCTTTAGTATCCGGTTCAATTCAAACCAAACCGTGGTCATCCATATGTATACACAATAATTTGTTGGAGTAATAAAATAAATAAAATGTTTACTTTAAGGGTATAAATCTCAATTTAATATATTAGGGGGAAAAGGCACCACTTTTAGAATAATTGAGGGGGCTAATGTGCTTACCTAAATAATTGAGGGGGAAAAAGTGCTATAAGTATATAACTCAGGGGTAAAAAGTGTCATTTTCCCTTTTATATATATAATAATAATAATAATAATAATAATAATAATAATAATAATAATAATAATAATAATAATAATAATAATAAACTAACATAACAAAGGTTATCTTACATTACCTAAGATTTTGAAGGGAATCACATTCCCTTCAAAATCCTATGTGGAGGGAATGTGACATTCCTTGGGAATGTTAGATTCCCTAAGATAATATGAACCAAACACCAGAATGTGAGCTTTGGAATGTCACATTCCCTTGGTTATGTTATATAACCTTGAACCAAACGCCCCCTAAATACTTTCACCAAAACCCATTACCATTACCAAATATTTGATACCCATTCCGATTCTGATTCCTATGTGCGAACCTAACACACCATTCCTTTATTTATTTATTTATTTATTTATTTTTTGCCTTCAACAAATTATTACTTATATGTAGGGATGAGTATGGTTCGATTCGAACCTAACCAGACACTGTAACTATTGAACTGATAGAAGGGACAGATTTGGTTACGATTTAAAACCGAAATAAAATAAAATAAAATAATTGTTGAATTTAAACTATTTTAAAAATAAGAAATAGAATTCTGGCGGTTCAAACACCGAAACTGGAACCTTCCTAAATTCAACCTGAACTTATTTTTGTAAGTTCAAACCGGAACTTATTTTTGTAAATTCTATTTCTTATTTTTAAAATAGTCTAAATTTAACAATTATTTTATTTTATTTTATTTTTTTTCGATTCTGAATCGTATCTAGAATTGCCCTATTGTTTCAATTCGATTACTAAATCGTGATTATCATACATATAAGCAATAATTTGTTGAAGAAGAAATACTTATTTTTAAGGGTAAAAATGTCCATCTAACATAGAAGGAGGAAAAATTGTCACTTTAACATAACTTAAGGGATAAGCGTTGATTCATGAATAATTTAGAGAAAAAAAGTACTTTAAGCATATAAATAAGGGAAAAAGTCTCATTTTTTATTAAATAAATTAGAATCTGCGTCAGGGTATTATTAATACCTGACGCAATAATTTAAGGTTTTTCTAGCTAAAAGTTGTTCTCCCGCTTCCATTGTTCAACAAATCAGCAGCAGTCGTCGTCTCCAGTCTCCTCCACCAAATTCCCTATTAATACCTGACGCAGATAATTTAAGATTTTTCTAGCCAAAAGTTGTTCTCCCGCTTCCATTGTAACAAAGCAGCAGTCGTCGTCTCCTCCACCAAGTTCCCTCGCATCGTTTCCATCGCAAGGTCGCCGGTCACCCTCGCCCCATCGTGTCCATCGTCTCTAGGTTGTAACCGCCGCAAGGTCGCCGTTCGCACAGCCCTCTCGCGACATCGCCGCAAGGTCGCCGGTCGCACAGCCGCAAGATCGCCGGAAGGGGAACTCAACGGTGGGTCTCCCTGAAATTTGTCTCTTCCTTACTGTTTTTTTTTTCCCTGTAAATTTTCTCTATTCAAGAGTTTTTTCTTTTTGTTTTTCCCAAATATGGGTGTTTATCGCTTGTATCTTCCTCGTTTTTTTCTTGGATCCGTATCGATTTTAATCCTTCGAGCTCCCAATCAATCGTTTTCTTGATGTCTTCATTAACGAAATGCATTAGATTAAGAGATTCTTTTAAGGGGTTGTTGAATTCAGAATTATTGGGGCTAAAAATTTGGTCTTTTTACGGTTTTAGTTGGTGATTCGTTTAATGATTTGATCTTTTATCCATTTGAGCTTTAAAGTTGTATTTTTTGTTGATTGAATCCCTCTGAACTGGAACACGGATTACATATTTTTGGGTGTTTTATTTGTTGCAGATATATGTGTATAGTTAATGCATGTTTCTTTTTGGTGGCTTAGTTGGTGGGGGTATAAATATTCGGTATGTTTGTAATCTGGAAGTACATATTCCATTTCCATGTCCTTTTGGTTGGTTTGAGTGGTCTCTTGCAGACTTGCAGTCTACATGCTTGAATCTCAACCAGGGTGCTTATCTGATTTTGTAAATGTTTTGTATATTTGTATAAACAACTTTGACTCAACAAATTGTGGGACTTTGGGAGGATATACAGAAGCATAATGGTCAAATAGGAAAGCATTTGGAAGGCAAAATACAATAAAATTCTCAGATGACAGCAGAGAGTCATGCTGGGTTATAATGTTTGTGCATCCTAATTTTGGTTTTACATTGGTACAGATGACAATCATTTATATGGCTGTGCAGAAGAATGACTTTTTCATGCAAAGATATGGATTTTCATCACCCGTGGTGATTAGTTTCTCTTTACTCTTTCTAAGAATTCAGTAATCTATCATTTCTCCTTCTGCAGTTATGGGTAAAAAGTGATATCATTGTCGATTTGGGTTTTAAAAATGTTAACAAAGTGGAAAGAATTTGTGCTGCATCACTACAACACTAACAATTGAAGTTAGGTTCTGGAAGTTCAAAATGGCACCGTAAGCCAAAAGAAAGCAGAAAAGAGAGAAACATATATATAAAACGCAAATGAAATCTATAAGACCTTGAATGGCATAGGGGAGGCAAGTATCCAAACATATAACACTATAGTTGCTTGTGAAGTTACTGGTACTGTTGCAATTTGAAATTTTTTTCTTCTGCATAGTTCATGATTGTCACAATATCCAGAAGCTGCTGCCATGCAGAAACCTTATCAGGATGTTATTGATGGTTATGATATTTCTTCACACTAACAGGCTGATCTAATTTTCTTTGATAATTACTTCAGAATCCTTGGGATGTCATCCAGTTCTCTGGAAATGCACAAATTCATATCCGTTTTTAACAGATCTGGCCTTCCAGAAGATTATTACCACAGTAGTAATGTTCATGTTTCTTTTCCTCATTAGCTGTTACTGCTCTATTTTTGATTGATTACTAATGTTTAGAACTTTAGAGTGTTCATATGATACTTGAAGCAGGTAAGCTATCAAACGAGGGAGCAGTTATAGCAGCAGCAAGAACATTGCCTACTTGGTCAGATAGAGACATGCCCCCAATTCCTAGGTATTAACTCATATTGTTATACTCATATGATAAATGCAGGAGTCCCCTTCTGCCATTTAACTCAAAACTAGTAGATTTTTTCTGCTGCAATTTAAATTTATGGCTTGTAATAGCTTGCATTAAATGGCTTATGCATTAACTTAAAACTATCTATTCTATTTGCAGTAGCTTCTTTTGAGTTCTAGAATGAAATATTGACAATGAAATGTGTTGATAAAATTTGGCGTAGTGTGCAATATAATATGTTGAAGTGTTGAAAATGTTTGGAGTAAAGCGTTGATGAGTTGATTATATTGGTTGGATTGTACATGAAAAAAATTGTATTATTATCAAATTAATTATTTTGTTTTTAAAATAACAATAGGCGTCCGTTTCTGGAAAGGAACAAACGCCTAGACCATTATTTTTTCTAACAACCGAACTTTCTGCATCTTTTCAAGTCAGAAACAGACGCAGATTTTCAAGACGATTTTTTTAGAAATGACAATCTGCGTCAAATCCTACAACGGACCAGACGCAGGTTGTGTTTTAAAAAAATGACAATCTGCGTCTCTTGCATATGCTGCTGAAGTACATTAGATGCAGATTGTTATTTACTTCAGACGCAGATTGCTCATTCTGTACTAGTGAAAGCTCATGTGGTTAAAGAAGCTAATGCAGCCAGATGCTTCGTCGAGACTAAGAGCTAACCAACGAGACCCTCTTCTCGAGCTGATAGAGCGTTCCGAGAAGCAGTGCTCAAGTCACTAAACAGCTTCGAAGAAATGATGACCTCCATGAAAAGGGGCAAATTATGCTCTGGACCCGTGTCCACAGTGAATTGTGGACACGGGCCCAAAACGATGTCGTTTTTCAAAAAAAACGCGTCATTTAGTTAAAAAAAAAAATCACGCGCGTTTTGCCGTTAACGGCGTTATTTTTTTTTTTTTTTTTGGATTATGAATGTACAGTTATGCCGTTATGAATGTACAGTTATACCGTTATGAATGTACAGTTATGCAATTATGAAATTATGAACACAGAGCTCTAACATTATGAACTTACAATTATGAACATGTATAGTATAAAATTATGACCATGGAGCTTTAAAATTGTGAATATAGAGCTTCGAAGATTATGAATGTACAGTTATGGAGTTATGAATCTACAGTTATGGAGTTATGAATCTACAGTTATGAGATTATGAATCTATAGTTATGGAATTATGAATGTACAGTTATTGATCGAATTATGAACAAAGAGCTCTAACATTATGAACTTACAATTATGAACATATAGTGATAAAATTATGAACATAGAGCTCTAAAATTGTGAACATAGAGCTTCGAAAATTATGAATGTACAATTATAGAGTTATGAATGTACAGTTATGGAGTTATGAATGTACAGTTATGGAGTTATGAATGTACAGTTATAGAGTTATGAACGTACAGTTATGGAGTTATGAATGTACAGTTATTAATAATATAGTAATAAAATTATGAATATATACTCCTATAACAAAGCGGTCTGAAATTAAAAAAAAAAAAAAGAAAAAAAAGGAGATAACAGTGCCTAACGGCACTGTTACCCGTGTCCAGCAAGCATGCTGGACACGGGTCCAACGCATAACGATTGATGAAAAGGATATTGAAGTACGTCCTGACTGGTCTAAAAGATTTACGAAAAGGCCAACCGGAAATCAAAGATAATCAGAAGGTCGTCAAGGAGGTTCAATTCGGTATAAGGAAAGAGTTGACGTCACATGCGAGAAGTGTGATCACTGTCTCGAGAGTCAATTCATCCTCAGGGATAATCAGGTAACTACGATTTATGAATTGAGACAATAATTATCTGACCTGGTTCCGTCCCCTACCGAATGTACCAGCAATAGCAAGCCAACCCTAAGATGATGCCAAAAAGGGAGAAGAAAGTGGTAGCCAAGCTCATGTAGATTTCACCCCAGTCCATCTACTCGTCCCTCATCTTCTCGTGCTATCCAACCATTCATGGAAACGGGCACGGGCAGAAAGCGAAGTCACAGTGCTAGAAGGACTTCCCCCAGAGTAAAAATTACTATTGATGCGGAAGGGAGAGAAGTTCCTTATCAGCCCAATGGAAGTGGTGAGAAGTTCAAAGGCTTTAACATTCCACCTTCCATGAAACACTGGAATTGTGAGCGAAAGCAGAACTACCTGATATCCATGAATAAGATGATTGCGGAGGCGCAGCGAAGGGTTGAGAAAGCCAAAATGGCAAAGAAAAGGCAGTGAGAGGAGGTTGCTGAAGCGGAACGTAATGTAAGGGAAAGATTTGATTCTTTCAAGACGGTGATGCGCACAGATTTGGATCATGTTATTTAGGAGACCATATTTGAGCTGTTAAGGGACAATAGTGTATCATTTGCTGATGGAATGAATACAATCGAGCTCGTAAGGTGGTGGAGATGAGGAGTAGTTGAAGGAGCTGACATCACTGAAAGCCTTCTACAACTACATGCAATTTAGGATCGCTCAACGTTTTGATCACTTCGTCGTCCCAAATAACATCCGAGGCATAGGGCATCAAATCAACATGCACCTTGACCTATAAGATATGAAGACTTAAGGAGAAAATAACAAGCAGAAGGCCAACCGAGTCAAGACAAGAGCTGGCCTTTTGTAATTGATATCGTTTATTCAACTCGTGTGTATATAAACGATATTTTGTGTACTTAGTGCATATTATGATATATGTAAAGTAAAGAGTGAATGCCAAAATATTAGCTCAAAAGACCCTTTATTCAATGTTGTTCTTGTGTCGTTCTAGAGGGTTGGGAGGGTTCTAAGTTGTAGAGAGAGGGTGTAGTGGAAAGGGAGAGAAGATGCCCCCAAAATGAAGGGCTAATGCCCTTTATATAGGCACATGACCCATAGACTTTGACCTGTTGACCTGTTGATCTTGACCTTGACCCTGAACCGAACCGTTTGACCATGACCCGATTACAAAACAAGAACACAGACGTATAGGGAAGTCAAAACTGGGGTATTCCCTAGTAATAGTTAAATTTATTTTTTAACTTGAAAATTTTTGTAATATTTTCTGATGATGAATAAAAAGAGTTTTTGGGGTCATGTTGAGTTTTTAATTCCAGTAGTCTTACTCCAAGAATTCAATGGTTAAACTCAACTATGGACTGTTTGTAATGAAAATTCATTTTCATGGATAATTTCAGCCTTATAGTAAGAGTATAGGTTTTGGCATCATAAAAAATAGGAAAATTGTTAGGAATATTTTGTATTAGATTTTGATGATATCAAACTTAGGATTTGAGAAACCACTACCGCCCCCCCCCCCCCCCCCCCCACCCCTCGAATCTTTTTTAGTCAGCTCAACATTCGAATCTTAACCGAATGGTTAATCGAGTGGCTTAACAGTTACATCTGAACGAACACTTGAGCAGACAGTCTCAACACCGAGTTGTAGCGTAACCCGAATGGTTAACTCTCGAAAGGATAATGAGCCGAGATCAACCCGGGGGGTTATCTCTCGACAGCTCAAGAAGAAGAGTAACCCGAGTGGTTAACTCTAGTCCGAGATGAAGACTGAAGACGAAGATTCGAAGAGCAAAGACCGAATGATGGAAGGGTTTGCCTCTTATGTATTATCAAGATAGAGTGATAAGAAAGATCATTCGAGGAGTTAAGGGATGATTGGTAAAGTCAATCATCGTATCTGAGAGGACCTAAGGCCGAGGCGTTAACTTAGTTAACAACTCGATAGGACAAGCTCATATATTATCTGAGCACAAAAGTGGCTCAAATATCTTCTAAGCTCAATCTATTCCGAAACCTTAAAAAGGTGAGGAAATATTTTCTAAGGCACGGAAAGCCAAGGAACATATCCCGAGGTTGATCCTTCATTAAATGCAAGGCTGTTGTCAGCCGCTTTTTGAGGATTCAATGACGATAAAGTCTGACGACTCACCTACCCTCTGGATTATCCGCTGGTCTCTACATGCTTGTCCATAGGTGTTTTGAAAATGGTTTTCCCTCCAGCGGAACTATTGTCTCCTACCTATAAATACCCTCTTCATTCACTGAAGAAGGTGCTAATATTTTAATATTTTCAAGTGCGAAAAGCTTTCAGTTTTCAAGTGTTTTACATGACCAGCTTTCAGTTTTCAACCTTTGTAAACTCTATACTCGAAGAAGTAGAAAGAGATGGAGTAAAATATGTAGGAGTTGAAAAACCTAGTTTAGCAGTTCACGTCCAGCTCTGTGTTCAAGGAGAGAATTGTTGGTGGTGTTGTACTAAGGGTTTTAGTGCAATCCTTCACGTATTGTGAAGAAGAGTAGAGTAGGCTTTGTTAACAGCCGAACCACTATAAAAACTCTCTCTCTCTCTCTCTCTCTCTCTTATTTACTACTTTATATTTCGCATATCATCAAACCTGTAACACCCCAGATTTTTGAAACTTTTAAAACTTATATAATAAAGGTAATTCTTCATTACTAAACATGAGTGTTCAGGGTGCTATGCCACATCTGAGCTGGAGAACTCAGATGCACAGGCTATACTAACTAATTATCCTCAAAGCAATGTCAATACATCATCATGGCACGCAGGCCGAAAGGAAAGCTAACTATCTATGCTTCGGATCTCTAGCACGCTCCGGAGTCTACTCATCTATACCTGAAAGCCAAATATATATGTTCAGCAAATAATGCTGGTAACCCACTCTAACTCGTTAAAATACAATATAGGTAAATATATATACATAGATATAGGAAAACCATTTTGAAGTCGGAAGATATATACTTAGGAGACTCTAGTTTTAAAACTGAGAATTGACTCATCAAGTAGGGACCAGCACATTTAACAGTTATGATCATGCATATAAAGATATTAGCATATATCCTAAGGTCACAAGATTACTTCACACCATTCATATCATCATTCAATTATTATCTCAAGTTCTCAACACATAAGCACACTTTGGTGGCGCTACGGGACCAATCGCATGCCCAAACATGAGGGTTAGCGCATATAGTGCTAACACGGCCCCGCAGCACCCTACCTCATACCGCACCATGAAGGAATTGACCGCAGTCAACTGTATAGACCGGTGATGAATTCAAGGGCGGACCACAGTCCTACACACCGCTGACGCGTTCAGTCGATGGACTGTGATCCTCTTTTGGGGACT